TTTTGCATCTACGCGTTGACGGTTCTGAAGCGTCGCGACGGTTCTGTAGCGTCGCGACGGTTCTGTAGCGTCGCGACGGTTCTGTAGCGTCGCAAACCGTCGCACCATTATAACTTCCTTGAAAGCGGGTAAAATGGAAAGATCTTTACAGCAATAGACTCGCCTCTCTGTGGCGAGTCTAACCATGTGTAAACTACTAATATGCTTGAAATGACAATAAGTTATTCCATGAAAACTATTGTCAATCCCTCGTCTAACTGTCTCGCCTCTCCTCATTCCCATTATCTCTCCAGTCTGAGATCAGGTTTCAGCTACCGCCTGATTTTTCATTGATTTTGTGTGATTTCAAAGGCAGGTTCCTTCAGAAATGCACAGAAATCCTGAAGGCACGGGGTTGCGATTCAATCTTGATTCCTGCTTGAGTATATCAAAACAGCCGAGTGTATCAAAGGCCGATTCAACGGCAGCTGCGGCGCGATTGTCACTGGGTCAGATTTGCTGAAATCCCGAAAAAAAAACCGTCGAAATCTACACCCTCGATGAAAAGGTTGCATTCCTCCATTTCATAACCTTTGAAGCAGTTTGAGGTAGGGTTAGATAGAGCTGGATTTCGCGTTTCCAACAAGTATTGAAATTGCTCTGGAAGTTTTCATAATATCGTAAGACCAGTCGCATCGGCCGGCTACGCCGGGCTCTGCTCCTTCTTGGTGTCGGAATGCCCAGCGTAGCCAGGCGATGCGACTGGTTTGGGCATTTCTTCCATTCGCACACGTCGTATAGCAAGTATTGATTGGGTACTGTGGCAATTCCTTCGGGTCACGTGCTATCCGATCGATATCGATTGAAAATATCGGTTTTTGCGCAGAGAGGCTCCGTTGGGGTCAGGAATCGCAGTAATGATTGGGGGCTTTAGAAAAGTGGAAATTCCTTCGGGTCACATGCTAGGAGCGATAATTTGATACTCCTGCTGACTGGGGCATTTTGCCAACATCTTTAAGGTCGCCATTCGTTGCGGGACCCGCTGCCTCCACCCACAGCGAATCCCTTGAGAAATCCTAAGCGTTTGAATTCATTGCCATCTACAGTTTCCTCAGTGCGGAGCGGGGAATCCGTGAGCCAGGGGGAGTGTAGCCAGTCTAGGGGGTGGGGGTGAGGGCAGTCACTTGACATGCGTGAAAAGCTGGAATGTTCGAGTCAAAGCGCCTGGCGCTGAGTGAAGCGCCGCCGCGTGGTCCCAACCCCAACCCATTTAACACCAAAAAAAGGCCGAGTCACAGAGGGTTGGAAAAATGATGAGGCTTGCAAGTGGGTCTGGAAGAATGGAATGGCGGAGGAACTTTAGGGGAGCTCCCGTAATGGAAGTGTCGTTTGAAATGCGAGTGTTCTGAAACTAAATTCCCTTTTATCCCCACACCATTGAATTTTTTTGCTCAATGTGGCTCGGGGGGGGAGGGGGCAGTTGCCGCCGCGGCGCATGGCATGTTCGCGACATGTGAAACTCGAACATTCCCGCTTTTCACGCATGTCAAGTGACTACCCTCACCCCCACCCCCCCCCACCCGAAAGTTATACCAGCTGATAGCTCTTCTCGAGATTTACAAGATGCTATATTTCAATTTTCGAAAGAGCTTCATCTAGGATTGCAGTAGTGGTAGGCCCATTATGTGACATTCCCCACTTTTAGAGGAGATGTTTTGTGGAAACCTGAGAAGATAGCGAGGAAATCTCTCCACCGGCGTAGACTACGGTTACTTCTCTGTAGGAATTATGTAAAAATTTGGTCGCAGGTGAGCGTTCCTTCCGTGGTGTGACCCCAAACATCACTGCTCGTCATGTCCTTGTGATAATGATCAGTTTTTTTGCTTGTCCAGAAGGACTTTGGAACCTGAAATGTGCACATTCGATTTCCCATGAAAAATACTATCGAATGGTGTACAACACAGGTTGCACACGAAACTTTGTTTTTTCACCTTTTTCTCCCCATTGGCGATCGTCTTTCCAGCCCTTGGCGGCCACGTGCGATTCACGTGTGCCTCGCCGACCCGCTAACCTCCGCATCTCTTAATTGACTATTTTATTGATCACCACTTAACGATTGTTTCAGCCTGTCATGAAGAGGAATGTCAAGAACCAAGGAAAAATGGGACCAGTCACTGTCTCTACGATGGAGGGAGAAGAAGAAGAAGAAATCGAGGCTGTGAGTACTTATGTTTTTTCTGTGTTAGTTTTTTCAAACATGGTAGTCGCGATCGCTCCTACTGGTATCATTAGACTGGATGTAGATTGAATTGAGTTGAATGAGGATTATCCAGTTCCTGATTCTCATATTTGTTCCAAAGTACAAAATCGGTGCTACGCTACGCCTTCGTAGTTCTGTTAGAACAGTTGAGAATGAGTATTTTAGGTTTTGCATTGTTTCAGCACATATATCGAACATTATTTCTTTTAGTGCAGTACACTAATGCTCTATTGTTCAGGCGGAGTCCTACTCGATGAATGCTCGTATTGTTCGAGATGCCTCGAAAGGGAATGATCAAGAATAAACTGTTGGGCAGAGAAATCTCTGGCGGTCCAGCTCCTAAAAAGAGGGGCTCTTTTGTGATGTTGTTTTCCAAAGAGGACAATGTACGTTTTGGTTTTATTAGCTTTCCGTGCTTAGAGTTTAACATTGAATATGAATTTAGTAACTATAACTATTCTTTGGTCAGGCACTGGAATTTATAGGCTGAGGTACTGCATATGTTTTCAGGATATCTCGGGCTTGTCGGAGTAGATGGCGACCATTTCTGTAATTCCGAAAACCTGCTCCATTATTTGTAAACAGTTTAGCGCCGCACGCTACCGCGCGCATGAAACGGAAGGTCCGGATGAGACAGGACAGCCGATAAAGCGTTAGATTCACCGCTAAACATTGAGTTGCTTCGTAAAATGCGTTAGCTGACCGCTCCATAGGCTGCTCATCTTTGCAGAAGCTCACCGTTTGATACGCGCAGATACTGGAAGGCCATCCTTTTATAACGTTTTAACTTCCTCCATCATGAGGCCCCTTCCCTCAGATTCATTTTAGGGCTGCTGCTGAATAATAGGAACATTGTATAATGTGACAATATAATAAGATATATAGCAAAAATGTGTTCAACGCTTTTTCCTCTCCTCCTTTTCAGAAAGGAAGAGGATTTTATTGTTTGTATTCGTGATTTCGCCCGGGCTAAACGGATTCTTTGATTTACTCATCCCTCTGAATGTTGCATTTTTCAAGATCCCAATCAGTAAATGTATCTCCCTTTTATCTCCTTTACATCAACATCCAGCGTCACCGCGTACCTTTAAGGTTCATGCCACGACCAACTGTCCAACAGTCACTGTGCTGAGATTGGTATAGGTTCGCGAAGGTTGTCCAATTATGTGAATCGAAATTAAGTGGCAATGGTGATGAAGGCATGGGACACATTGCACTGGCGCCCGCCGTCTCGCGGGCCCCTCTACTCCCTCGTATCTTTCCCATCTGGTGCCTCATCTGGGCGCCTGATGTTTCTTCTTCGTGAGTTTACATATTAGGTTGTCTCATAATTCCTGTCGCATTTCTATTCAATTTCAAATTCTTCCGTCTAAGACCGTTTCATTGCGAAATACGTTAGTATGTTGAAGCTTCAAGAGCCTTAACAGCGTGGTTTCGGAAGCGCAAGCCCGTAACGGGTTAATCAACTAGGAATAAAAATAGGTCAGTGACTATAATGAATGATTATGCTTTACGATCCTCAAATGAACTCTGTAGCAAGGAGGACAACAGAGAAGATCAGCGCTGTGTTTGACTCAGTCTCTGCTACTGATAGGGTACTGAGCTAGTGGTCCAATCGCAACGGCAAAGACGAAACGAGCTGTGAACTTCAACCTCATACTGGGCCTGCGGTCACTTTTTGATGAGCGCCCCTTGCACCATAAATTGGGAGTGCCTCCGGACGTTGCTACCAGGGTATTGTAGCAGATACCTGGGCGCAGCCGATGCACCAGCACACGCCAGGATGGAAAGGACTGCAGCAGAATGAAGTCTCGATGCTTCGGCCGAGCATAAGCAAGAAGCACGCTCGACTATCCGGGCAAAATTCATTCTGCGACCACATAACAACCACATGCTTCGGCCGACCATAAGCAGGGCCTTTCCTAGTCCATAACCAGTTTAAATGAATCATGAGTCCACTGCGACAACAACACGCGGCACGTCTGATGGCTACCTCGCAGCCAGGAAGCACCAGCTCAGCCCGAACTCCGTTTTCTGAGAATATCGCTCTCGTTTTGTTGGATTCGCTAGGTGGCCTGGTTTGGGAACCACTTCAATGTATGAAGACAAGCATTGCTAAAGTCAGCGCGGAATAGCCCTCTAGGCTGGCTTCGGTATTGCGAGGGAATCGTCAGAAACGTCTCAGATTCTCCTTTCTCCGAATGTACGCCAGACCTCACATTGCAATGCCAACTCACCACGTTCTGAGGGAGATAGCCAGGGCCACGATACCTCATCCACCATATAGCATTGGCATCGCTCTATCGGACTATCGCCTCCCCTGCGCCCTGAATAGCATCTGCCAGAAAAAAAAAGTTAAGGAATATGAAAACCCCGAAAACGACTTCTTCTTATTCTTCAACCTCAGCTTCCGTCATTTAGCAAGTTTCCGACCAAAACCTTCCCTAGCAAATGCACGATGTATACAGTGAGTATGATGTAGGTTAAACTGTTGATCAGCTATTAAAAATTGAATGAACCAAAGTGTTAAAATTGACAGGAATTATGAGACAACCCAATACTTCCAAAACTATCTATCAGGGATAACCTTCTCAGAGCATTTTGTTGTTTTTTCTTTCTTTCTTCACAGATCGATAGATAGCATTTGCCTTCCAGCCCATATTTGATCTCTTTGTTGACACCCTCATAGAAGCCTTGATGCAACTCTGAAAAGGATTTTCACAATAATCATCCGTTTCTTATAAAACCGCCACATTTTCAGATGTTTAGTCGATTATCAAGTCGTTTGGCTGTTCCTATTGCTGGCAAAGTTCCAAAACGTGTCTCGGCTGACGAGGCAGTGTCATGTATCACTTCCGGTAGGTACAAGTTACTATGCACAAACATTCCCCTTTCTCTGTTAGAGTCGCTATAGGTTTGGGTAACTTGTAGTTTCCTTACCATTAAAGGTAACGACATCTACGTTCACCCGCATGCATCTACCCCTACCGAGCTGCTTGACGCGTTATGCCGACATGTGAAACGTAACAACCTCTCCCGAATACGACCTGCACATATCATCCTACAGGGACGGATTCCTTGGACAGACAGCGAGTACTGGGGTGAGCAATCATTTTTTACAATTGTACCCCTTTTTAAATAACTCCATTTCTAGGGAAGATTCGTTCGAATTGTCTTTTCATTTGTGGAAATCTGCGACGGCTTGTAAACGAAGGTCAGATTGTCTTGTCTTGTTTGAAAGGAGTGCGCAATCTTCTTGCAGCACTTATGGTTGTTATCTGAAATATACAATAGACAATTTTGTACAGTTGAATTGCAGTCAAGGGGAATAAGTATTTCGGTATAGAGAATTTCATAGTATAAGAAAATGTTTCACAAGAATGCTGGATTGTGAACAAAACTTTCGTTCCAGACGGATTCGAACCCGCACCCCTCGTTTCAATCCCGTATGGGGCGAAAGTTTTGTTCTCAACCCAGCATTCTTGTGAAATATTCGCAAAAAACGCGGCCAAAAACAGCACTTAACAAAAAGGACAAGTATCCTTCTATTTTATAAAGCGCTAACTTTGTGTGTCGGTTTGTGTATCTGTATGTGTGTGTGTGTGTGTGTGTATGTATGTATGTGTGTCCGTCCGCAAAATGAAGTGAGTGAGAAGGAAGCTCATGGGATAAACAAACCGCTAACAAATCGGGTAGCTTACAGGATTTGAGATATCAATGTTTTGTAGCAGGATAGTTGTGATAACACTCTTAGGGCTATATAAACACCTGCTTAGCACACTTCCGTTCATTCCACATGGTGCTGCAGTGGCAGCTGGAGGGCAGTGGAGAGAGGAAGGGAGGATGAGGAAGGGAAGCGAAAAATCTACCGTCATATCATGATTGTGTCCCTTCTACTGTATGAAACACCATTGTGTTGCATACACTTCCAGGAGGTGTTGGTGTCACAGGAGGAAGGGACCATAGCGGAGGATAGAAAGCTTGCGCAGGAAAGGAAGGTCCCGGCGGTTGACGGGGGACTAATCTGGTTTAATTAAAACATAAGCTCAATTATCATTCAAAAAGGTAAACAGCTTATATTCAAGTCATAAAATTTTTCCCCTCGATAACTCCAGAGCTAATCTACTGAACTCGCAGGCAGTGATAGACTATTTAATTAATTACTACTTAAGCCCAATTATCGTTGGAAAAAGGTAAACATTAATAAAAGGCTGGCTAGGCTGGACGGCGTGCGGTCGATTACTCGATCCCCTGGCCGTGCGTGTGGAAACGCCGCTTCTTGCCACTCCGTCAGCTGCATATAACCAATCCTACTTACTATAAAGCGCTTCGTCTGTCGTCTGTCGTCTGTCGTCTGTCGTCTGTCGTCTGTCGTTCTGTATGTCTGTCACGAAATTCCCTAGCTCCTCGGGATCCGCCTGGAGGGACCGGGTCAAGTGTGGGATGGGTGGGCAAGGTCTCACGAAGTACAAAACACACATCAGCTAAGCGGAGCCCCGCCCACAGAGGGCGTGGCGTGCGTCGAAATGAACTGTACCGAAGACCAATTTCGATTTCAGTGACAAAACGACCTCGAAACTGGGCCAAAAAGTGGGTAAGGTGTGCATTGGTAAGTCACATCGAATTAGGGAGACCCACCCCCGGTGGGCGGGGCGTTCTCCAAAAAAGCAGTGCTTTATGAAAAATTTCATAACTCGGTTGGGAGAAAGCCTACAGAGCAGAAAACAAATTGGTGCAGGGGAGCAATGTCTAAGGTGTTCCCAGCATACACGAAGTTGGCGGAGGCCCGCCCACAATGGGCGGAGCGCGCTCTGAAGTGTACAGCATTTTCTACAAGTCCTCATAATTCGGGCCGGAGAAGTCTTAGTGAGCCGGAAAAGGTGGATAGAGGTGGGTGGAGGAGTGGAGGCCAACTGTCATTGGTGGGCGGGGCATGACCAAAGTGGGCGGAGTTTGCGACGAAAATTCATAACTCGGCTCCAAGAAGTCCAGGAGGCTGGGAAAAAGGGAGTAGAGGTCGGCGAAGGAAAGGAGGTCAACTGCTATTAGTGGGTAGAGCACGCACCTAAGTGGGCGGAGTTTGCCAAAAGTGTCGTAATTTGGTTCCAAGAGGTCCCAGAGACCGGTGAAAAAGGGGTAGAGGTCGGCGAAAGGAAGGGGGCCAAATGCTATTGGTGGGCAGGGCACGCACCGAAGTAGACGGAGTTCGCCACGAGATTTATTGTCCGGGCCGAGGACCGAGAAAAATAGGATAATGGTTGACGAAGAAAGAGCGGATAGAATTTAGCGGAGAATTCAGATATTCGTATTGTATCAAGCCAAATTTGAAAATTTTCGTCGCACCATCAAAATTCGCCGCAGATCTGTGTTGCGCGCGCAATGCGTGCGGCGCCAACTGGTAATGATATAAGAATACTTACTATAAAGCGTTTCGTCTGTCGTTCTGTCTGCCGTCTGTCGTCTGTCGTTCTGTATGTCTGTCACGAAATTCCCTAGCTCCTCGGGATCCGCCTGGAGGGACCGGGTCAAGTGTGGGATGGGTGGGCAAGGTCTCGCGAAGTACAAAACAGACAGCAGCTAGCAAAGCCCCGCCTACAGTGGGCGTGGCGTGCATCGAAATGAGTGACGCTGACGACCAGGATTTCGGAAACTATACCAAAAAAGCCTCGAAACTGGGGGAAAACGTAGGTAAAGGTGTGCATTGGTAAGTTAGATCGAACTAGGAGAACTAACCCGGGTGGGCGGGGCGTTCTCAAATTAAAGCAGTGCTTAACAAAAAATTGATAACTTGGTTAGGAGAAGGCCTACAGAGCAGAAAAATTGGTGCAGGGAAGCAATGTCTAAGGTAATCCCGGCATGCATGACGAGAGTGGAGGAGGCGCTCTGAAGTGTACGGCATTTTCTACAATTCCTCATAATTCGGGCAGAATCTTAGGGAGCCAGAAAAAAGGTGAATAGAGATGGATGGAGGAGTGGGGGCCAACTGTCACTGGTGGGCGGAGCGTGCACCAAAGGAGGGCGGCGTTATCCACAAAAATTCACAACTCGTTCCAAGAAGTCTGGAGACCGGAAAAAGGATGATCTGACCATGAAGGTGAAGTCCATTGCCATTGGGAGGGGGCCCGCACCAATGTGGGCCGGGTTTGTCAAAAATTTCGTAGGCGGACTTACTCTCTTTTTCCCGGTCTCCTAGACTTTTCGGATCTGAATTATAAGTTCAGGACAAATTCCGCCCACGTTGGTGTACGCCCCACCCACGATAGCAGTTGACCTCCTTTCCATTGACGGACTCGATTTCTTAGCTGGATTCTATCCGCTCCATCGTCGATGACTTTCGACGTCTCTTTCTTCGTCAACCATTATTCGCTTTTTCCCGGTCTCTGGACTGCTTCTTGACCGATTTATAAATCTCTTCGCAAACAGCCTATTTCGGTGCAGCCCCACCCATCTTTTTCTTCCTTGCCTCCCACGTTTGCCGATCTTTAGAACTCCTAGAAATACATAATAAGTCCGGCAACAAACTCCAGCAACTTTGGTGCGTGCTACGCCCACCAATAGCATTTGCCCTCCTTTCCTTTGCCAACCCCTACCCCCTTTTCCCCGGTCTCTGGGACTTTTTGGAACCGAAAAAGTTTTTGACAAACTGCGCCCACTTTGGTGCGTGCTCCGCCCCCAATGGCAACTGACTTCACCTTCGTAGTCAGACTTGATCCACTTTTTCCTGGTCTCCAGGACTTCTTGGAACCGAGTTATGAATTTTTGTCGCAAACTCCGCCCACTTTGGTCATGCCCCGCCCACCGCCGACAGTTGACCTCCACTCCTCCACCCACCTCTATCCACCTTTTTCCGGCTCCCTAAGACTTCTGCCCGAATTATGAGGACTTGTAGAAAATGCTGTACACTTCAGAGCGCGCTCCGCCCATTGTGGGCGGGCCTCCGCCCACGTCATGTATGCTGGGAAACACCTTAGACATTGCTTCCCTGCACCAATTTTTTTCTGCTCTGTAGGCTTCTCCCAACCGAGTTATGAATTTTTTTGTTAAGCACTGCTTTTTTGAGAACGCCCCGCCCACCGGGGGTGGGTCTCCCTAATTCGATCTGACTTACCAATGCACACCTTTACCTACTTTTTGGCCCAGTTTCGAGGCTTTTTGGTATAGTTTCCGAAATCCTGGTCGTCAGCGTCACTCATTTCGATGCACGCCACGCCCACTGTGGGCGGGGCTTTGCTTAGCTGATGTGTGTTTTGTACTTCGCGAGACCTTGCCCACCCATCCCACACTTGACCCGGTCTCTCCAGGCCGATCCCCAGAAGGTAGGGAATTTCGTGACAGACATAGGGGATCGAGTAATCGACCGCACGCCGTCCAGTCTAGCCAGCCTTCTATCACTGCGAGTTCAGTAGATTAGCTCTGGAGTTGTCGAGGGAAGTTGTCGAAAAAATTTTATGACTTGAATATCAGCTGTTTACCTTTTTCGAATGATAGCTTAAGTAGTAATTAATTAAATAGTCAATTGAGAGAGATGCGAAGGGTAACGGGTCGGCGAGGTGCACGTGAATCGCACGTGGCCGCCAAGGGCTGGAAAGACGATCGCCAATGGGGAGAAAAAGGTGAAAAAACAAAGTTTCGTGTGCAACCTGTGTTGTACACCATTCGATAGTATTTTTCATGGGAAATCGAATGGTGCACATTTCAGGTTCCAAGGTCCTTCTGGACAAGCAAAAAAACTGATCATATCACAAGGACATGACGAGCAGTGATGTTTGGGGTCACACCACGGAAGGAACGCTCACCTGCGACCAAATATTTTACCTATTCCTACAGACAAGTAACCGTAGTCCACGTCGGTGGAGAGAATTTCTCGCTAAATCGCACGTGGCGCCAAGGGCTGGGAGGACGATCGGCAATGGGGATAAAAAGATGGTGTACCAGTATTGTAGGCATAAGAACACTGTAATCGCTTGCTGTACACAATTGCATGGGCGCAAGGTGGGAAATATACGTACATAACATCTGGGCCGTAAGGTATTTCCCCGAACAGGAGAGGAACCCCTCCCTGGTAATGTATGCTCTCCCCGAAAACTCTCGGGGAAAGAAAATAGCATCGGTTCTCGGGTATGTCTCCCAGACTGCATGTCAATTGCAGGGATATTTCGCCGATTGCATGTCAATCGGGGAAATATCCTTACCAGGGAGGGGTCCCTCTTCTGTTCGGGGAGGCATACCTCAAGGGCCCTGGTGGGTTCAAAATGGGGCCGAGGAAGTGGAGAAGAGCTCGA